GTATCTATCCCATCCGGAAGAGATTTAACTGAACCAGGTGCTGTGGACAGACTGAATCACAAAGCTATCCAGAGTTAAACCTATAACCCTGGAATCACTTTATAGAAATAGGATATGAGTATTTAATTCTATGTCCTTGTATATTTTCTGAGCTGTAAAACTAGAAATGGTATAACCCAACCATTCCCTTTTGGCTTTATCTCAATAGTAACATTTCAATTCCTGCTCCAGCTTTCACTTGCTCGCCAAGTTAAAATCACAGCTATGGCTTTGAACGACTGCCAAATAGGCCAGGCTCCCCAAGCTGTTGTTTGGATGATGCCATTAGCATCTGACACTCATTGCAGTGTGTCCCTTTCTTTGTTTTGGGGAGTATCAGTGAGTGCTTCATTCCCAAAGCAGATGGGCCTACCTGAGTGTTGTATGACATTTATACTCTCAGCTCTTGTAATTTGTCGCTGTAAGATTGTCCACATGAACATCACTTTTTTCAAAACTGTAACTAAAGACATAAAGATGCCTGTAGTAAATTTCCCAGTGAGTTGATTGAAGAGGTTTGTTTCTGCCTATAAACTTGCCTGATTGTTTTGGCAAATACTGGAACATTTTAACAATGTATTTCACGCATTTATCTAGCTGCTAGGAAATGGGCTTGTGCCTTGACCCTCTTTCTTCTGTTTCATATCTGTTTTGCTTGTATCTCTTTTAGATGTTTATAACTCACCTCAAACCCTTTGCAAGCAGATTTGGTATAAGAATCTAATGCAGTGTTTTAGATTAAGTTCTTTCTCAGCTCCCTTTTCAACTTACTACAATTGATTTTTGAGACCTTTAGGATTCTTGAGTTCTTTTTGCCTTACAGTGTCCTTATCCTTTCTCAATAGATTGTTTTATGGAAGAGTCAACTGTGATGGTGAGTTCCTATCCCAATATCCCAGAAACTCAGCCACCAATCACCTGTGGATAATTTATCTTCCTCATGAACCAGTCAGGAAGTATGCAGTGCCCCATGAGTAAACGGGATAAATCCCAGTTGCGCATAGACGCTGCCAAGGTAAACCACTGTCTTTTTTCCTTCTTGAGGCTCACATGCTCAAGTAAGGATGAATCTCAGGGGTTAAGTTGGGGTCTGTCTGTAGCTATGGGCCTGTTCCACATCTGAGCTATAACTAACATGGCCACTCTGAGGCTGACTTTGGAATATAAGGACCTCAAGGATGAGGGAGGATGAAGACCCACATCCCTCAGAGTTAGATTTGTCAGCAATTATGTGTCTGAAAGGGTCGTTTCTCACTCTGTCTCCTCATACTTTTCTTACCTTTAGGAGACACTGATTTTGCTGCTGAAGAGTTTACCTGTAGGCTGTTATTCCAACGTCTTTAGATTTGGATTTTCCTATGAGTCATTCTTCCAGTGAGTTTCCAGAAAGACCACAGGGAGTCCCAAAGGATATTTAAAGAAAGAGGCTACATTGCTAAAGGGGTGACTGCAGACTTGACTTAGGCATTGGGGATTTCAAGTAAAGTTATTCTACTTTGAGGGTATCTCAGTGCAGGGACTCAACACTGGGCAATGTCAAGTAGCTATCATGTAACTGGGTGTATTTATTTTTCTCAGGGATAGTGTGAGGTATACTCAACATACAGTGGAAGAGGCAGTGAGGAAAATTAATCTTATGAAAGCAGACCTAGGGGGCACTGAAATCTTGACACCACTCAATGCCATATATGGGTCACCCACCATCCCTGGGCACCCCCTGCAGGTAAGAACTGGCACAGAGTTAACAAGGGGACAGGAAGAATGAAATCTCTATTCAAGAATCTCTGGTCCTGGACTACATTGCACGATTGTTGAAATATCGTGTTTAATTCAGAGAGTCTTCTGTCACATAATAAAAACAAAAAAGACAAGAAGCATTTAATGGAATTCCTCTTCTTTAGCTCCATTCAGTGGTTAATGGATGTTTCCTTGCAGAGACACAAAAGACCTGGATTAAGCTAATGGAAAGGTGCTGAAAATTCCCAGCTTTCTGAACAGACCATGTGAGAAC